TTATTATATATATAATTTTTAATAAATCTGCTTCAGTGAAAGTGTGTTTGCTTAGGAAACAGTGTACGTGGAAAATGCCAAGGTGTAACAATTGGCACAGAACAGTACAGTTGTCATTCTGCATATGGCTATGGAAACTCATTGAAATGACACCAAAGAAGGGGGGGGGGGAATAAGCACATTTTTATCTAATTACAAAATAAGTAATTAAAATCCTCTAGAAGAATATCACACATATATTTTCAATCACTAATATCAGAAAGAAAAAAAGCGATATTAATTTCTTGACATATAAATAGGAATAAAGCAGTAAGGAGGTATTTTAACGGCACAGAAGATGAAAATTATATTATTTGCCATAAGAAAATGCTTTCTAAAATTGTTGAATAGATTTCTTCTTATGAATTGTGCTAGAAACCGTGATCCCATTCTTAAATATCCCTTTAAGAATAATGGAAGGAATAAATAATGAATAACATGTACAATGTAGAGGTTTATCCCACAAATAATGGCCTGTGAATGAAAGAGTTTATTACATTAGGGAATCAAGTAAACTACAATTAGTCTAATTGTTAAAGCATTCAGAGTATTTTCTAGTTCTTCACCAGAGCTGCCTGTAAGTAGGTCTGAACCTTGCTTTACTGGAAAGCATATGGAAGAAAAATGACACATGTAACTAATTTAGCCGAGAGATCTGTGATCTGTTCACCAGTACTTTTTGCGAGCATATACACAGTCTGTCTGATTGTTTTCTAAACTGTGGAGGAAAAATACCAAGGATCCTTAGAATTATGGTACTTTTAGCTATTACAGAGAAAATAATCAGCAAAATTATAAGATCAAACCCAAATTACTATCAAAAGATATTTTCAACATTTTCAGCAGCACCACTCAATTATTTTCCCTGGCATACCTCACCAATATGTTGTTAAGGCAGTATACAATTTAATTCAAGTAAGTCATATGAATGTGAAGTTTGTGGTAAAAAAAAATTAAAGAATAGTCATTAGTAATTGAGCCTCAGAAGATAATGAAAACGTTCAACTGTGGTGATATACATTTGTTAAACCGAAGTTGGCACCGGCCAGCAGAAAGGTTTGGTTTGTATTAATGCAGTACTTTAAATAGTACCATTTAAGTAGTCTGCATAAGCAATGGGGAACAGTACTCATCACTTGCTAAAGAATTTGAATGCAGTTATCAACAGTCATTAGTGGCCCTCTCTCCACCTCAAAAAACAAAACAAAAAACCCAACAAAAAACCCCTAAAAAATCCCAACAAAAAACCCAAACCAACCATCACAACAGAGTGCTTTAACCTCCAGCCTGGAGGGATTTCATCTGACACAAGTCAGCCTCCTGATGCCAGCGAATCACCCATGAACACACTGCTGTGTAACATAAACAAATCCACAACATGGTGTTTCCCCAAATACAGCCAGAGTAAGACTTACCACAGACTATAAATCCACCACAGCCAAGCTGTTTTGAGTGTTGAGAGCTGCAGCCCCCAAGTTCTGGCACCAGCTTGCTACCCAGGAGCCACAGCCCTGGGCCATATGCCCCCCATTCCCCACCACACCAGAAGCAGCAGTACCTTGGACCAGAACCTCCAATAAGTAGGGTGAGAAGCATTCGAGTTGTCGATTACTGACATTCCTACTACAGCTTTCTTGGCATCTAAAGCATTTAATTTGTGAGTTAGGCTTCAGTGGGGTCTGCACCTAGATTTTGGCATTTTTCAAAAACATGACAGGAGGAAGGAGAGGTTCTCTCAGCAGCTAAACAGGCAGATGTAAGACCTGGAAGGTCATGAGGACAACAGTCCTATCTGACAAAGTCAGAAGTCCTATCTGACAATTCCCAGGAAATTCCCTTCATCACCAGGCCAGAGGCTAGCTGGGAGGAATGTCTTTCATTGTGCCTGCTGAAAAGTCTGTTATTCTGAACCATCTAATCCACATTCATTGGACCAGGGAAGCAAGGCATCACTTTGCCATGCAACAATTAAGGTCTCTAGCTGGGAGTAGGGAAATTGAAATTTCAATTCCTATTACAACACTGCTTTTCTAGGCAATTACCATATAATATTAAAGTACACAAGCAACCATTAAGAGGCAGGAACAGAAACTGAGTTCCCTAATAGCCTATTCAAAACCATCCATTACCCTGGATACCAGCAGGACACAGACTGGGCCATCCTGTGCTGCTGCATTTTTACTGTTATTGATACTCAAGTTACCTGGTACTATTTCAAATTATTTATACCTGCTGCAATCATATCTATTATTAAAGACAGACATATATTCATCTTGGAGTATGAATGTATGTGAAAGTATCTTTCAGAGCCATTTGTGGAGCCTGCTCCTGACTACTCCTACTGACAAGAAACAGGGAAATAATATAAAAAAGACCTGTTGACCTGTTACTTCATTTATTCCCTTTCCCATCTATTGTGATACACACCTCTTGCTTTGGTGTCTCCAGTTCTTTCCCATGCTTTATTCTACTTTGGGATCCAGGCTACGCTCTCCCTTGTCCTCCTCTGTCTTTCATTTATCTTCCTTATTTAAGTGATTCTATCTTTCTTCCCTCTTTTTTTCCTCACTTCCTTCCCATCAATTTCAACATTCAGTGACATGATCCTGCAGTATTCCTCCTACATTTATAAAGCTCAAAAATGCATGGACCAGAAGAGGTAAGGAAGGAAAAAAAAAAAGGCAGAGAAGCAAAAGTCATTATCTCTTTAAAAAAAAATCTAAGTATCTGGTTTTCAATTTGATTTTTCTCCTTGATTACTGCTGTATAAAAGGCCTAGACAAACAACAAAACCAGGAAAAATTAAAGAGCCATCAGAGTGGAATGGTTGCAGCAAACACTGAATGAACTGTGATCTCTGGCAGGATAAAGATCAACATCACAAGCTTTCAGCTGTAGCCATCAGTCGATACTTTCCAGACCATCCCCACGGTGACAAAGACAGAGGCATTTTTAAGTTGTAATTGAGATTAGCCTTGATACATACAGTTGGAGCCATGCCTGTGAACTTTGCTAAAAGGCTGGCTATGTAAACTATCTATCACTCAGTTTCACATGAGCAGTAACCTAATGACACCACAAAAATCTCACTATGTCCGTTGCTCCACACGTTCAGCCACAGCAGCAAACTCATGCCAGGCTGCTTCAGCTGTGCTACTGGAGTGTTTGCCTCCCAAGGTCTGGAGCACCATATAGACGATCCTGGGTGCTCAAGTTTTGTACAATGCTCAGCATTGTAGCCCAAAATCACTCTTGCTCTAATCCAGCTTACTAGATTTGTAATCACGTGCTAACTGAAAACCCATACATAATAGTACTGACTCCAGCACACTTTGGATGAAGCCCATAAAGACACACAAGATTGCTTTTCATGGATGGGAATAAAATATTTTGTTTATTACTACTAAGCCAACCACAATAAATAGTTCCCTTTCATGTGGTGATGAAACAAAGCAATCATGCTGTATTCCTATTCTAATTATTAGGTTGAAAGAAGCAGTGTCTTCCTGGCATGTTTAATTCTGAATCATATTCATCACATATATAAATAGCCAGCAACTGCATATAGTAGAGGAGGGCAGAGAGGAAGGTCAGGGAACTAGCTTGATGTCAGGAAAGCATTTCCTGTGGAGTCACCAAATCTGTCCTGGATACAGACTCCTACATTGGCACACAGGGAGCCTGAAGGCAGCTGTGCCCTCATGCACCAGACATGCCAGGTAAGCGTCTCCAACCTTGCTGGCATTTGAAAGATTCTCTTCCCCAGAAATCACACAGGCATAATTTACTTCTTAGGGCTTTGCAATAATGAATAGAATATTTTTCCTCTCTGCCTTACGTTGCGAGTAATGCCACCACCATGAAGACACTTTAGTGCCCAGCAGCTACTCCACTGTGTCAGGGAGACTACCAAAATATGAACCTTCTCCACTGAACTCCGAGTGGACAGACCCTGGAGGGAAATGCTGGCTCTACTACCACTGAAATCCAAGATGCTGAGGCCCAAGAAGTGGTAGCAAATAATATCATGGACAGAATGCTAAAAAGAGTTACGGCAGAGTCTGAAGTTGTGGCCAATCACTAAACTCACACACTTGCTATCTGGTTTGCGTTTATAAATCACTCTGCATAAACACAAACTTAGCCCAAGTCTGTCATTGCACAGCTTAGGCCATCAAGAAAATTATGCCTGAACCTCCTGAGACTTCTTATTGTAACATAGACATTGCCCTAGTGTTGCTACACACCGTTTTGCTAAGGTAGCTCTCAGTTGGCTTCACAGAATCTTCGAGGTTGGAAGACACCTTTAAGATCATCAAGTCCAACTGTCAACCCAGCACTGCCATTGTAACCAGTAAACCCGATCACCAGGCACCGGATCCAGACGCCTCTTCAGCATCTCCAGGAGCGACGACTCCCCTGCCTATCGCAGTATGTTGCAGGAACTTCGCAGGAATAAACTTCTTTTCCACGCTCCCTCAGTCGGGTCGGCAGCAGTGGGCACGCGAGCGATGCCGCCGCCTCCCGCAGCAGCCCGGGGCGGCAGGGATGGCAGCCGGGCCCGGCGGGGGCAGGGCCCTGCCGCGGGAATGCGGCCCGGCCGGCCCCGGCGCTGCCCCGGGCGGGGGATTTAGCCCGGCTCTCCAGCACCGGGGCATCCCACGGCTTCTCGCCCCGCGCGCCGGCCGTGAAGCCACACGCGGTTTAGGAACTGAAACGAGACCAGGCAGGTTTTGTCGCCGTCGGTTGTGAGTTTGCACCAGCGCACTTTGCCCGGCTGGAGCAAGGTCACTGCCTCCCCAGCTCGGCCAGGGCCCACCATCCCCCGAGACCCGCGCCACCCCGGTCCCGCCGACAGCCCGCAGGAGGATCCGGCCGCTTCCCCGGTTGCCGCGGCCGGATCCTGCTCCATCCCGTGGGGTATTTTTAGCCGCTGACCCAGTTCCCCCGCTCGGCTACCTGCGCCTCTCTCACCGCCCGGCCGGGCCCCCCCGCCGGCAAACGCACCGCCCAGGGCCGGCCCGGCCCCCCGCCCTGCCAGCGCCAGGTGAGGGGGGCAGCTGCGGGCAGGTGCGCCCGGGACACGGCGGCGGCGCCCCGCACCGGACGGCCCGGAGAGGGCGCGGGGCTGCTGAAGGGGCGCAGCCCGGGACGGCAAGCCGGCGGCGCTGTCGAGGAGCGGGCGGGCTGCTGCGGGCGCGGCGCTGCCGGGGCCTCCGCGGGGGCGGAGGGGGGGGGCGGTGCCGGCGGCGAGAGCGGCCGCGGCGCAGTTTTCTGCAGCGGCGCCGATCTACAAGTGAGGGGCAGTGTGTGCGTGGCGCCGTAAGTGCTGAGTTACTGTCTTTTACAAAAGTGTGAATGCTCCCCTTTCTTCTCTTCCTTTTCCTTCTCTCCTCGCTCTCTCAGCGAGGGCTTCCCGGGGTGGCCGGGTAACGGGAGCGGAGCGCGGCTGCCCGGGGGAAGCGGGTCACTGCCGCCGTTCCGTCCCGCTCCAGCCTACTTTCCTTCTGTGCTCTTTGGCAATTGCCGCCCGCCGCGTTCCGCGGCCCCGGCGAGGTGAGGCTGAGCCGCGGCCTCGGGGCGCAGCGCAGGTGCGGCTGCAGCGGGGCTCGCCCCGAGGGGCCGTGCCCCTGGGCTGAGGGGTCACAGCTTCGGCGGGCCCAGGTTGTGTGTTTGGAGTTTTCGATATTGAGAGATACAGAAATTGTATATTCCTGTCGCAGCTTTTTTTTTCTTTTTTTTTTCTTTTTTTTTTCTTTTTTTTTTCTTTTTTTTTTCTTTTTTTTTTCTTTTTTTTTTTTTTTAGCTAGATGAACACTGACACCGTGTTTGATATGTGTAAAATGTGCTACAGCTCGCTCTCGTGCACCCGGAGTGCTTTGGTCCTGCACTACAAGCACGAACACTCCTGAGATTTTGGAGGAGTATTTTAATGCTCTCTCCTCTACTTGCTGCTATTTATACCATGCAAGGTTGGCAAGGAGAGGAGAGCTAGAGTTTGAAAAGGACATTGAGCTTTAACTTGATACCATTGTTCCAAGGCGAGAGAGTGCAGGTATTTAAAATAAAACAAAACAAAGAAATGCCCAGAAAACAACCCTGTGAAAACACCCTCCCTCTCTGTTTTTCTACTGCATGATCTAAGCAGAGAACTGAACATCCCCTTCTGGTTAGGGTATGTAGGTGATGTTCTGCATCGGGTCTAAGCCTGTACTTTGGTTTTATTACTTGTTTGCTTTATGCTTGTGATGTGATGGACAGTCCCGCTGGTTAAACCCCACACTGGGGGATTATCTGAAAGATGAAGTCACATACTGGCAGATGTATGACTTTCACTTAGGTAAAAATCATTACTGGTCACTGCCTATGCATTGTAAGGTCTTAGAGTAGCTATAATGTAAAATATTGTTGACACTAAGTCTGACAAATTGGATAATACCTGTGCTGCTGAATATATTAATGGGTAATCAATTTCTTTCTTTTTCTGAATTAATTTGGTACACAGTTACACATCTCTCTAAAGTCATTATCATCGCTTATATCACTAAGATTTTCAGAGTGCATGGTGATAACTAATATAGATTTCCCTCTCTGGATTGCTAAATAAGATTGGTATTAAAAATTGTTTATTCCTCGTGACATGCAGCGTGCTCTGGTGGAACTGCAGAGCAGCATTGTAGCGGCTGGCTCGCGTGACTGCGCACCAGCCACTGGGGTTAATTTAGTTCTCCTAGTGCTAATTATCGTGGGTGAGCAATGGATTGCATTTGAGCTCTGCTTTTATGGAGTAATTGTACGTGTGGTAACAAGGCTCTGCTAAAAATTCATATAGTCACTTTTAAAATATTGCAAAGCTTTGACTTCTGGCTGAGATCAGTCTGCTTCGGAACTGTAGCTGAAACAGTGATCATAATCTGGTAAATCTGATACTAAAACTTTACCTAATGTGATTTTCCATTCAGACTAAGCATGATTCTTCTGTATGTAAAGATTCCATAAGTTGAAAATATTTGAACAAATGTTAAATTTTTAGTGGCTAACCCCTTAATTTGGTTTTATGATATTTTTAAGCAGTTGTGATTCAGTAAATAGGAAGAGCCTTACTGCCGGATGCATAATTGTTCCTTATTCTCATGTGTTTTACTTACAGCTGAAATCAATATCTGAGAACTGACTGACTGCAGAAGTGCAGTGTCAAGGCCTTGAAAAAGTCAACATTTGACAGAGTAATGACACTAAATGCATTTGGAGCTTCTAAGTCTTGCATTTTGGGGTTTCAAACTTTTGTCTTCAACCACATATGTTAGAAGTGGGTTTCTTTTTTAGGCAGAGCCAAGAATCTTGTACAAAAATGTCAACTCTAAGGAGGCTTATTTTTTTTTTTTAATCTTCTAGGATTTACTATTGAGCTGAGGTTTAACATGTTGGGTAGCTAATGGTCTCAACAATCTAGCAAAATAATTGCTAAGATTTCTAATAGGAACTGTGGAATGCAGATTAGCCAGCTGATAGTGTGGGACTGAATTTTTTTTATCTACAGAAATAAAGATGCACTTATGTTTTTATACATATATATGTGCCATGTACATGTATAAATGTATATGTTTTGTACAAAGTGTGGCATATTACCTATTCATACAAGATGTGAAAGTGCACCACTGCTGTAGTTTGATTGTTTGATGATGAGATCAGATTATGTGATCAGAAGTGCCACGTGTGGTATGCATGATTCAACAGAAGCTGCTGAAGTGATTGCCTGCCCTAAGTCTCTATTTCTGTTCAAGTAATTTTGCTCTATTCATTCAGTTTCATGAAGTATCCTGATTTACTGTTTAATTTGGAAAATCAAGCATTTTTAGTTGCCTTTATCCCTTTAATTTAGAGGATTACCTGGTGAGTTTGTGAAATGCTCACTCTATGAAGTAGTTTGGAGTTAAAGCTGGAAAAGTTAATGCTCTTTATTCTGCTTTACTTGATTGCAAGAATTAGGGCTTCTTCAGTGTTTGTGCCATGGAACTGGCTGTTGTACAGTTTGCTCTATGCAAACATTAAAGTGAGAAAGATAACAGCCTACTTCTTTTTAAGGGAGTGCTTGCACTGTGGAGTTTTTTTCTTTTCCTGATTTACGTACGAAGATGTTTTTAGACTCAGTAGTTGCTCTGATGGAGGCATGGGAAGAACGTTTTTCTCCTTTCCTGTTTTCTCTGTTGTTGTGGAGATGATTTCACAGAGTATGCTATGCATAGGTATGCTTTATTATCTGACAAAAAAAGTTAGTGCTAGTTGATAATTTTGAGTCCTCCAAGTAAAACTATTCTATTAATTATGAGTCATAGTTTTCTACATGAGTGGGCTTTTTCAGTGCCAAAAAGTTATGTCAGTGGGAAATTTCCTTTTTCCCATCCTTAGCACCTATATTAACTTCAGTTTTATTTCATGGACTTCTTCCCTTGAATGAATTGCATTAATCCTTTCACATTAACTCAGGCTGCTTTAGTTACTACTCTGTTTAGTTTTTGCATCAAGAAAAACTGAAGCTGCTCTTAGTGGATGACTTTGATGTGATCTGTGAATTGCCCACTTGTATTGACTTCCCAGTGTCTGTTGTCATTCCACTTTAGATGGTTCCCTTAATGTCTGTCATTTTGTTTGGCTTTGCCATAGAATTTATTTGAGCCTTTCCAACTTGGCTAAGTGTTGCCAGTGTGCTGTCAGCAATCTTCAAATACTTAAACATTTCACCATTTTTTTATTTTGTAATCTTAGATGACTATTTTTAAAAATTAAAACTAGCCTATTTTTGCATTTAATATAAATGTGGATTTAAATATTGCAATATAGTAATTATGCAGGGAAATGAAACTAGTGCAATCAAGGCACTGGGAGTTGAGATATTGTAACCTACAGTGGGTTTTGGTGAACTAGTTCTAGTGCAGACCCCTGTGAGTGTGCATACAGAGCTGTCTGTGTGCTCAGAGTAACAGTGGTCATCAGGTGTACAGCAGAATTCCTGAGGTGGGGTAAAACAGTTGGAATGTGTGTGGTGTAGCACTTCATTCTAGTGGCTAGTATTCCTAGTATGGCTAATATCTTTTACTCTGTATGCTCTATACTGTGTCTAACAGGAAGAAATAGGACAAGCTTTCTTCCGGAGTCAGTTTCTCTGCTGTGTAGGCTCCATTCATGTCAATGAAGAAATGGACAAGCCTTCTTCAAGCAAAACAAGTGTATTGAAGGAGGAATTGGCATTACTGTAAAAAATATGGTTGTAGATACATTATATGGGGTTTTTTTTCCCTGATCTCCTGTCAACTATGAGGTCCATGTAGTGTGTTCTGGGCTTGTTAGTTCAGTTTGATAGCATTATCTGACACTACTATGAGGTCCATGTAGTGTGTTCTGGGCTTAGTTCAGTTTGATAGCATTATCTGAGACCAGTGAGGTCTGGATGGAGTGATCTGTGAAATGGTGCTCCTTTTGTCTTTCTGAGATCAGCTGTAAACGTATATGACTGGCCAAAAAAGAAATTATTAACGTCACTGGGCTCCTGAAAGAGTGTGACTGTACTCTTGGATGAGTGTGAGTAGTTGGTGCGGCAAGCGTTAGAGACTGCGTTTTGCCTCCATTCATCCCCTGTTGGACCTTTTGTCTTTCTGAGATCAGCTGTAAACGTATACGACTGGCCAAAAAAGAAATTATTAACATCACTGGGCTCGTAAAAGAGTGTGACTGTACTACTCTTGGATGAGTGTGAGTAGTTGATGCTAGAGTCTCTAACACGCAAGTGTTAGAGACTGCGTTTTGCCTCCATTTATCCCGTTGTAGCTGAGGCTGCTGCCTTGTCATGTCTCTAGCGCTCAATTGCAGCAGACTGAATAATCTTCACTGAAGAATTCAAAAAATAGGAGGATTTTGCTGCACCATCATTTCAGGAGGGTTTGGGAACTAAGGATCTGTATGCCATTGGGTAGTCTGAGGGCATTGTGGTAAAGACTATGAGCTGATGAATAAACTACTGTTAAACAAGAAAGACTATGAGTTGTCCATGAACTATGGTTTGTGTGCCCATTCTCACAATTAATGTGGATCTGCCTTTCTTATTTTACTTGGTGCTTTACCTGTATGCTTCTAGTGAGCCAAATATAATTACTCTTACCTGAGGATGCTAAAGGTAAGATCGTTGGACTGTTTCAAGACTATGGTGGGAGACCATTTTTAAATGGGAGATAGAAATAGAAGATGCTGCTGTGCTGGCTTATGCACAGTGCGCATCTTGTTAATGAATAGTCTACAAGAATCATCAGTTCTTGGACAAATCTGAG